GTGCAGTACTGTGTTGAATTACGCTGATCGGTCATTTATTACCCACTTCGTCCTCGTGAGCACTTGAAGAAGGAGGTAGAATCTTCTTGTGTAAAAATTGCAAATATAGCATTGTTTTTCTTATTGCGGTTCACAATTCCATCCAACCTTGTTTATTTGGAATACAGTTTTTTTCTGTTTAATCGCGTTCTAATGTGAAGACTTTTCGAGTAATGTAGTTTCCAGAGAGTACTAAGCAATAAGAGTACTGGGTCGTAATAAGAAAGATCATAACAGTAGAAAGGATGAGAAATAAAAATGAATCCAAAATGTCGAGTTTAGATGATCGAGCCAAGCAAATCCCATAACAAAAAAAAACAACTTGATGCACAAATGCAATTTTAGGGAACACTGATGCAACAGCTTAAAATCAAGTGCTTGAATTCACACGCTATTTCAAATATTTTCCGCTATGCAGTTACCGGCAGCATCCCAAAATTCAGCACTGGCCCCGAAATTGAAAATACTTTCCTCACGTGGTTCAAGCGATGCGCAGAATCATATGGAATAAAATATGGCAAGTAAAATGATTCGTGGAGGTCTCGGATGTTGGTGCTTAATTTGGAAAATAGTAATTATGCGCGCTGCTCTGACCGCATATTGTCGAAGTTGCCACGAGAGCTTAGTTTCAAAGAGACTGTAGTCCAGTCATTAAGTCAGTCAGCAACAACCTAGAACGTCTTTCGTATGTACATCAGTTCGAGTTGCCATACCATATTATCACAGAGTTACAGTTGTCGATTCAAATCTCGTAGTGGTAGAGGTAGTAAGTGTATAAGCAGTGATCGGAAAGATTAGGGTTTGAAGATGTTATTTAAAGAGTACAATCCAGTGAAATAAATTTGGGAAGAGAAAAAGAAGAGACAAGGAGGATTCGGAAGATTAGAATTTGACAGAACACAAAGAGTGTATGCATCTGCGCCATGGCAAAGGATTTTGAGCCATGTCATTCAGGGTCTCTAATCATCGGTTGCTATCATCTCGCGGTCCCCAACCAGGTAGTCTACACCTACCGACATGACTCAGTCCACTTGTCAGTGACTTCATGGACTTGTGCCATGTTTTGATCTAGCCGCTCCTAGTTTTCTTCCAACCTACTCCTATACCACTGAACATCGCACGACGAGGCAGTCGGTGGTTGGGCATACGTAACACGTGTCTCAGCCATCTCATGTGATGAACTTTTACTACTTCGCCAATTAATTTTCCATCCTTACCTAGTACTCGTTTCCTAACAACTGCGTTACTCACTCGATAGTCCCAGGATATACGAGCAATATTTCGAAGACACCTATGATCAAATACTAGTAACCTACGAATATCTTCTACTCTTACCGGTCATGTTTCACTGCCATAAAGTAGGACGGAACGTACTGCTGCGCAGTAAACACGTCCTTTGGTTGATAGACGGATATCTCGCCTACGCCACAAATGACGCAAGTTAGCAAAAGCTAGTCGAGCCTTCTGTATCCGTGCTGAGATTTCGTCACACACCAGACCACAAGGGCTGATGAGACTTCCAAGATAAGTGAAGCGGTCGGCACGCTCAACTACATCACTTCTTATCATTAGTTTGGATGTCAATGTAACCCAATCACGAAGCAACATTTTGCATTTCGAGAGGGAGAATCGCATCCCGAACATGCTTGCATTGTTGCTTAGAGTGGTCAGAATACTCTGCATTTTGTCAGCGTCTTCACCAAATAGAACTATGTCATCAGCATATTCTAAGTCAACAAGTGAACCTCCCGGTAGAAGTTCAACCCCTGGAAATTTAGACGAGGAAAGTGTCATCTCTGAAAGCAAGTCACTGACAAAGTCCGACTGCCAGAGGTATTCAGTGAGTCATCTTCGTTGTTTAGTATTAGATATCAGTGTCTAAATTTGGTGAAACGGGAAGCCGATAGTTATTCTATTCTACCAGATGCCGTCAACTGAGAGTGTGAACTGTTCAAGTTACACTCACCAAAAGAAGACCAATTTAAGTGCCTAACATTCATCAAATCTCTCCAGTCACTACAGGATACTGAGATTGGGACTGGATTTTTAACTCGACTTGATCAAGATTCAGACGTCACACTCAAGAAATTGATATTTGAGTGTAAACGGCTACAAAGCATCAGACACGACAATGGGTAAAATTGAATGTAGCCTTCAATAGTCTGAATGCTATTACTATGTTAAAACTCAAGAAGTCGAAAACACCAGAAACAATTCAAGACAAACTAACTACTTGTCTGTTAGCCACTTGGTGAGTATCTTTGTGTAGGATTCTTCCTCTTTAAGAAGCACAGATGTCAGATGTACAAGAGACGCGGACATAAACGAGATCACTGAATCGAACATACCATCTCAATAAGATACATAAACCTTCCTGACACAATAGTCAGTTGAATCTAAATCAGTATCTCTAGTGGCAGCTTACAGAACAGAGTAAGACATTCGTAAGTATAATATGAAGCTTGAAAGTGTATTTAAATTAGGTGAAATATGAGTGGGATTTTACTTTTATTCTTGGCATCATGCATTGGATATTGAAAGTTACGCGCTTTCTAGGTTAACGTTCTCGTGGTGTTGGTGCGGTGCTCCACTGACCACATGTTTGTATGTTTATTCACTTATAGTCGTGCTAGTCCTTTATATATCGTTATAAATTAGTGTTTTCGATTCAATCCGTACACATTTTTAGAAATAAACTTCCATTTTGCTTGTCACAGATTATTTGGTTATGCATCAGCTACTGGGTTTAATCAATATGTGTTTGTGAGGAATGAAATATAAGTCAGATGTTCAGAAATACGTGTTATGCCGGATAGTTTTTTTCAGGGAGCAATAGTACAAGTTCTGTGTAGTATGATGAGCGTCCCAAATACTTAAGTTTTTTAGATACCAAACTGTTAGCAGCTAAATCTGCCTGTGTTCTCAGGAAATTTTGATTCGTCAGGCTTGATTTGATTTGCAGAGTTTGAATCAGTGAGTGAAATTTGACAATGATAATTTTGTACTAGTTGTGACTCATTTCTGTGCACGTAGGTCTCTGATCAAATCTCGCATTATATTCATTTCTGCTATTTTTTTAAAATTGAATACAGAATTCGTCTGGTTAGGCCTATTAAAACTGATCGTCTACTCAACTAATCAAGATAATACTAATCTGTCTTTTTCATACGAATCCTGGTAAGCTTTATAATATCAAGTTTTTTCCTTTTATACTTTCACTAATAGTATATAAATCATTTGAGGATCGAGTAGCCTTCATACTTATGTGTATATATACATATACATACTGGTTCGAAACTCGGATCATGTCACTGGCTTGTGGATGACACATTTGGTTAAAACGGTAGTTTTATTTTGTTTTATTTAAACGTAAACATAGGTACAAGAAGGCACCAACCAGATATGCTCCACACTAATCATTCGGTTTGTGTGAGGGTTAAGATACTGTTCGGGTGCTCAAACCGAAGCACGTGGTTCTTTTATGGATCACACCCCGAGCCTTTGACCCACAAGTTAGTGGAGCAACGTCAGGAGATGCAGTCCTATGGTAGCCAGTGACCAACGATTGATCCATACTCCACTTACTCCTTCAGGATCCTGGAGCCCATGTGCACCATTGTTCAATTCCCCTAGGTAGACTCTTCGTTTCCGCCAACCCGGTTAAAGCGCCGTGCATTCGCTTTTCCTCTCAATTTTACGAACAACACCATTGAGAGAAGACATTGAGTAGGACCTCGTGGAAGTGGTTGTATGCACGTGACCATGTGAGAGCATTTCGAGAGGGAGAGTTGACTCTCCCCACTCTCGGCCTTACCAGAACTGTACATGAACATGTTCTCAGCTATTGAGTTACATCAATTCTAGTTATTCAGTCATGTGGATGGAGCTTTATACGAATTGAAGAAAAATATTGCGAACTAAACATTTTGTTTATATTGTGTAGTCACTATATCTTAATTATCTGTCTTCACGTTTTACGTTACTACATTAATCCTTTCCACTCGTAACACGTCGCTGCATTTACTGCTTCTGTTGTCCTAATGTTATGCAAGTTGACTTGGTGGTAAACATCGCTCCGTAGTCCACGTTTAGATACAATGTCTTCTTGAATGCTCAGTATTTCTGGACTTATTCCGTCTTCCAAGTTGTGGTCAATTTGTTCCAGTCCTCCATTTATTATTATAATTATTGTTTAAACATAAGCATTGGTACAAGACGCCAAATATATATGCGCCACACGAACCATTCGATTTGTATCGGGGCTGGAATACTCCCTGGGCACCCAAAAATGAGCAGTATCCTCCCTCTAGATCATTTTGTCTCGTCCATTCTACAGCAAAATAATTTATTTGTGTCAACCGCGTCTGTCATATGTACTATTCATAACTTAACAAGCTTTCCACAAGTTATGAATAAGGTCGGGTAATATTATTGAAATTATCTAACAAACTTTCAAACTATGTATCAGACAAATGCAGGGACCAGTTACAAATTCTTTTCAAGTATTTTTTCGGTCAAAAACAATTGCTTTTTCCAAAAAAATCTGTATGCGTCACTAGTCAATCTCATAGTGAAATTGTCATGTTTTAGATTCACTTGTCTTTGAATTTTATTTATTTGAATAATTATTTTTATCCTAACAGACAACCACCTTTATGGTACTTGGGTGGCACCGGGTTCCTATGGTTTTTATTCGAACTTGAGATTCGGATTGTGCCTTTTGTCAGTGTATGTGAATAAGTAAATGGATTTCAATATTGCAGAACTGTGTAACGTTTTCAACGCTCAACAAGGTAAAGACAACAACTGTCAAAAGCATGTGTTGAAGTTAATACAGTTCCTCAGTTCAGAAGATGGTTGGCCAATATGCACTTCTGTTTTGTTAAATTCTAATTCGACCCTCCCAAATGTAGATGCACTCCCGGGGGAGCAAAAATCTGCTCTTTTTTCCTATGTTGTAGAGCACTTGAGGAGAATTTAAAATCTGAGTAAGTAAAATGATTTTCTCATTCTGAGATTTTAGTTTACCCGTTCGACCAGATGAAGCACAGAAATTCGCTACGTTTGCCTGCCAGTGGTTGAGATATTTCATTAATCCTGTTGATGGGATCAGAAAACCTAAATATTTTGAAGCGAAAGCTGGTCAGTTAATTACATTGGCTATTATACGGTATTATCCAAATCATTGGTCTTCCCTTTTTGACGATCTTTTGGGAATACTAGTTGAAGCAACAGGTTGGTCCTTTTGAATTTTCCGGATTTTTTGTGGATTGGTTATTATGTTTCCCCGTATATTTTTCAGACTAATATCTAGATTAGAGCAGTTATTTGCTGCACTACTTCAAGTGTAGGTACAGATGATTTTCATAATCAGATTAATTAGTTGTAATTAAATTAAAACATGCAGGTGAACGGTTGATTGTTTACATAATATCTAATATGAGAATCAGTTTAGAGCCATGATTGTATACTGATTAGCCAAAAAATTTCTTCGCTCTTTTTAATGTTTACTAGATTCCTGTATGAGAATTTTACTTAACGAAATCTCAGTTTATTCAGTGCAAAATAGTAATTGTGCATATGTTCAGCTTTTTAAATTATAACTATTGTAACTCCATACTACATGGATTTTCTACTCAAACTGCCATAAATGTAACGATTATTAAATCTGTAACTCATGTATAGTCAAACTCGTAATCATTAACATATTTCATTTTCATGAAATATTTGTATACCTATTCCATATTAACTTGTGTTATTTAATTTTTTGAAGATGGACAAGTCAGTGAAAGAAATAAGTCTGATGTAGTGGCTGTCGATCTGTTCCTTGATATTCTTATTGATTTAGACAGCTATATCATATCAAGAAATGTACAGTTAACCACCGAGGAACTCAGACGAAGTAATGAACTCAAAGATGCAATGCGTGAATCATGTATTGGCTCACTGATTCATACGTGTTATCAATTGATAGTGAGTTATAATCTACGTTTTGGTTTTTTAAGCTCACTTTCTACGGAATCTCAACCACATTATAATCAAATTACTACCAGGTACTCTTTTGTTGGATTCTTGTTCAATCACTTGAATATTTCACAGCTTTTAACTCGGATTGATCATATTGACAAAACAGTTATAGGTTAACCTGCATAATAGAACAAAGTGACTATTGTCTTGTTATTGGGTTCAGTATGACCTACGATGTTACGGATTCAGGAATGAAAACGACTGAGCTTCCCTAGTACATTCGGTTCTCTTCGGAAATGACAACAGTTAATTCTATTCAACACATCAAACCCGACAGCTAAGACCGGAGGAAGACGAAATTTCAGGTAACTTCATATTTATGGTAAGACATTCAACTCAAACGGAATTAGTACAAAAAAGGTCGCTACTAGATTAGCAGAATATGACCGAGCATGTAGCAATTTACCGAACTAAGAAAACGTGACAGCCAATCAGAAGGCAAAGGTCATGCGGAAAATCGAATCGGTAGAAAGCGTGCGAACGGTTATCGTTTCTGAATAGATTTTAGCCTTTCTAATAAAATTTGACTATTCTTGCGACCGCCTTAACATTATCAAGAAATTTCTCAAATTTATTCACTTCAGTTAGAAGATTTGTTACGTCTTCTAAACTAGTTCTTGCTAAATTGTTAGCACATTAATTGAAGCAATAGCGTGCATCATCTTCAGTACCGTACAATTAACCAATACCGGTAAAATATATATTCATCTGAATAATGTGTCATCTATCTCCGTATAGTTTTTCTTAGAAGTTATACGAATTTGAAGATGTGTAGTAATAACTAAACCTGCGTATGGACAAATTATGCGTGTATTTGGACTTGTAAATGTTAGTATGCACCATAGCAAAAACTTGCATGTGGAATTCCCCTGAAATTATGTAAGTAAACTAGAATAAAACTGGTTTTACTACAGTTATTTTTGAAGTAATCATGGCAATTCGTATTATAACACATTTTGTTGTTGAGATCACTGATATTGATGTTATCAACCACTCATTTCTATGTAATTGGTCATCATAATGACACTCAAATTGTGGATTCACTGTATAGAAAAGTTGGTACTTGTACGGTATGGTTGTATATTATGGTATACTTTTGGGGTATTTGTTTGGCCACCTATGGACCTTGAAATATGAGGATTTTGGGAAAGTTTACTTCACTTCTTTACGGATTGAATGTGCCAAATTACAACTGCACTATAATATTTACTGCTTGATTAATTTTTTCACATCCACATACTGGTCGATATCCCTAACAGTTAATATGAGAAAAGCTAAACGATATCCGTTCACCTGTAATAATAACTCTAAATACATTTCAAAAAGTATGTCAACGATATCTTGTAGTTTATCTAGATTTCCTATTTTTGGCGTTGAGCAGTATTGTTATCGTATTATATTAACATACTTTTCTTAGTAAAATAATTTGCTTCAGCATAAAATAACCACAATTTAACACACTCCAATATGATTTTTTTCCAGTATCGATTTCTTAATTCATGTCAATCGAATGCATGTTTGATTCGCAAAATTCTTCATACCATTGGTTTATATGCATCATGGGTTGATTTAACACTTGTGGCCAATACAGAATGGATTACATTATTAAGCCGATTATTACAATTATCAATTGATAATAATTCAGCAAATGCAATCATTCGTTGCGGGATTTATTTATATTTAATAGGTTTTGTAAATAAAGGTATGCAAGTAATTGACAAATTAAGGTTGTTAACTGGTATTGGGAACAGTTAGGATCTATGTTAATTAATGATCCAAATATATCAAATTTCATGATGAATTCAGCTAACGACACTTGTGACAACTTAAATGAAGATCAATTAGAATCCTTGTCTACATTTGCTACTTTGATCGATGCAATGGGAAATCAATTATTGTCTGTGTACAGGTATTTTGATATTTGTTTTATTTCGATTAATCTTTGTCTTATTATCATGATCATGATATGCTGAGTCGTTTACAGGTTGTCCACGCATTTAGGGCGTGTTAATTTGATAATCTATGCAACTGATTGTTCATGTTTTATGTTCTGATCTAAATAATAGAGTAAATGTATTGATGGACACTTCAGTTGACGTTTGATGATTCTCTGTATATCAAACAACCATAAGTGGAGTATATGTGTACGTATCTTTAGAAGCCATGAAAAATAACTTAACAGATTGGAATACTGTAATTAAACTACGGTTTGGATGATAATCAGATAGTCTCTACTTGATATAACTGGCAATTAAATCGGTTTAAACCTCTATTAAAACTCGGAACTCGAATACGGTTGTATCTCATGAGTGAGGATAAAATTTATTTTTTGGTTGTTTTTTGATCCGATTTCTTCACAATCTTATGTGAAATGATTCAAGATAGATTAGAGAAACTTAGGTGCTTTTGGTATTTATCTTACTATAAATCATATTTGGCTTCCTACTCCATTTATTATCTTTCTTCGTAGTTCAAACACCCAGCTATCCACTAATAGGTGTAAGTTACAAACCCTACCATATCTATTTTGACTAGGCAGTTGGACAATATCATTAACCTTTACATCTCTTTAAAAGCTTTCAATCACAAATATGATTTGTTTTATTTTATTTAAACACATAAATATTGGTACAAGAGAGCGCCAGTATATATACGCCACACAAAACAATGAGAATTCGAGGAGAAAAAAAGGTAAGGAGCGTAAAAAAAAGAGAACAATAACGAAGAGATTGGTGTAAGGTAGTGTAATAATAATAGTAATAGTAGGGGAACAGGAGGGTACAATCAGAAGAAATCTTTCAGGTAAAGAAGAAACAACCACTTTTTATGAAGAAAGTAAAAGAAGGTTACAGCAGGATCGCCACTGGCTTCTATTCTGAGCCATATCTGATAACGTCTCTAGCCACTGTGTAGCACCATCTCTCGGACCCCAACCAGGGAGTCGTGAAGGACCAACACAAGCCAGTCCTTTGCAGCTTTCTTTCATACCACGACACCATGTCATGCACTGACCACCTCTCCGCTTCTTCCAACCAGTCCCAGAGTCGGCAAATAATGCACGACGTGGAATTCTCTGGGACGACATTCGGAGAACATGTCCAAGCCACCGAAGTCGGTGTTTCAAGATGGTGACACCAATTGCATTATCATCTCTGTGCCCGAACACACGATGCCGAACCTCTGCATTACTGACATGGTGTTGCCACTGAATGTCAGCAATCCTTCGGAGACAGCGATGATCGAACACAGAGAGTCGTCTAACGTCCTCAACTCGGAGAGGCCAGGTTTCACAAGCATAGAGCAAAACTGCTCTCACCGACGCGTTGTAGATCCGACCTTTTACAGCCAGACTAACATCACGAAGGCGCCAAAGGTGGCCCAGATTGGCATAAGCCGCTCTGGCTTTCACTATTCGTGCATTGATCTCATCACTCACACCCCCACCAGCACTTATGCAGCTACCCAGATACACGAACTTCTCGACTACGTCTATCTGCTCACCATCCAGGGTGAGTACAGGATTAGAATCCTGCCAGTCTTGTAGAAGTACTTTGCACTTCGAAGGTGCAAAGCACATACCATACCTACGGACACTGATTGCCAACTGATTAAGTGCGGATTGCATGCCTTGGGCATTATCGCACAGTAAGACAATATCGTCCGCATACTCAAGGTCGAGAAGTCTTTCTCCAGGCAACAGATCCACACCACCATTACTTACATTCATCAGAGCTGTTTCCAGAATGTCATCGATGGCAAAGTTGAAGAGGAATGGTGAGATTGGGCAACCCTGCCTAACCCCACTGCTCGAATGGAACAATGGAGAGAGGTGGTTGTATGCCCTCACTCTGCCTGAGGTGTTTTTATATAGGGCTTTTAGGATGTTAATAAACTTCTCAGGCACACCCTTCTTCAATAGACAATCCCAGAGAACAGTCCTGTCCAACGAATCGAAGGCAGCCCTGATGTCAAGAAACACTACGATTGTTGGCCTTTGAAAAGTATGGCGGTGTTCTAACATTTGGCGGAGGGTGAAGATATGATCAATACATCCTCGACCAGAACGAAACCCAGCCTGCTCCTCGCGAGTCAATCTTTCTCGGGTTTTGAACAACCTACGAAGTATGACGGAAGCCAATAGCTTGGACGCAATCGGAAGTAGACTTATCCCCCGATAGTTGTTACAGGAACGACGTGAACCCTTTTTAAAGATAGGGACAACTATCGACTCATTCCATGACGTTGGTACACACTCTAGTTCCCAAACCTTTGTAAACAACGTCGTCAATTCCTTAGTCAAAAAGTCACCACCATCTTTAAAAAGAGCCGGAGGTAAGTCATCTGGGCCAGGTGATTTGTAACGCTTCAAGAGTTGGAGTTCCTTGCGGACTTCCTCCTCATTTGGTGGATCAGTCGTCACCGGCCATGGAGGGCAGGACAGTCTGACCGATGTTGCCGGAGCAGCAGGCCAGTTGAACTGCCCTTCGAAAAATTCTGCCCATCGTCCAAGACGTCGATGGATGTTAGTGATTGGCATCCCATCATCCTCGCAGATTGTTTCACTCACACCAGACTTCTTGCTGCCAGTGGCTCGGATGAGTTGGAAGAGCTTCCGGTAGTTACCAGATGCAGCTGCTGCTTCCAGCTCATTAGCACGCTTCGACCACCAAGCTTTGCCCGATTTCCTTACGTAACATCCTTCGTTTATGGTCAAACTCACGGTCACCCGGAGTAGACCGACGGGCTTCAATGAGTTGTAAGGAACCAGAAGAAACCCAGTGCTTAAAGCGGGACGTTTCGCAAACCCACAACTGACTGTTCCCGCCATTTTCATGGCGTCATGCAATTGCAACCAATGCTCATCTATACTTTTCGGTGGAGTGGTAGCTAGCCTAGAGGCTAGCTCGGTTCGATACTTACTTGCAACAGAAGTTGCAACCAGCTTGCTAACATCAATCCGTTGATGGCGGTCACTTCGTTGTCCACTGAAAAGTAAGGCAAGATTGGCGCAGACCAAGGCATGGTCAGAGTCCAGATAGGTACTCCAAAAGGAGCGGCAGTCTTGTACACAACCACGCCAGCGGTAGCTGATCGCGATGTGATCAATCTGAGTCCAGGCTTGAGATGCAGAGGGAGGACGCCAGGTGGCACATCGGCGATGACTGTGCCGAAAGTTAGTGCTAGCCAGAAACAGGTTGTGGTCTGTGCAAAGTTGCAGTAGACGGTCCCCGTTATCTGACCTGCGACCAACGAGTCCCCATCGGCCACCTAAACGACTCTCTTCTGTGCCTAGACGCCCGACCTGAGCATTCAAGTCTCCGGCTAGTACTACAATATCTGTCGAACGCACTTTCTGGAGAAGAACAGATAACTGGTGGTAAAACTCATCCTTGATTGCATCCGGGCTGCAATCTGTCGGGGCATAGGCGGAGATGACGAAAAGACATCGTTTCTCACGCCGATTTCTTCTCACTTTGATGGAACTTTCTAATCTAACAGCACATAACCGACTGTTAATGGGGATCCAATCGACTAGTGCTGCCTCAGCTCTAGCGCTTAGTGCGACACCAACGCCAGCAAGACCAGACGAAGATGCCACAGGGTCCCCGGATAAGCGCACGTAAAACAAGCTTTTCGAAGCGACAGATGGAGATCGAATTTGTAGTACTTCGCCAGAGTCTTGAATACGGGTCTCGGATAGACAACACACGTCGATATTAAGACTTTCCAAAGACATAGCCAGCCCTATCTGTTGTCCGACCTGCATAAATGTGCGAACGTTGAAGGCAGCCAGTTTGAATGGTGCACGTGGTTTCAGAAAATCTGCTTCAGTCCTCGTATTCGGTGGTAACATACAATTTTCAACCGGACAGTGACTCGAGAACGTTTAGATACAGTCGAATTTCCACCAAAGACGAGCCGCTGTATAAGTATAAAAGAGGGTGAATAATGTGGTAAATAATAATAATAATGATAATGATAATAATAATAATAATGGTAGTAGTAGTAATAATAATAATAATAATAATAATGATAATAACAATATTAATAATAATTTGAACCATTTCTTTTTAAACTTTGTTTTATTAGGAACTTATATGAAGCAACTTGGATAAATAACAGTTCAAATCAAGCTAATATTCAGTTTCGATCCGAATCAGATAATAATTCATTCTTACCCATTGCATTAGAAGCACTGGAAGACCGATTAAATATTGCTATACGTTTATTTGAACATAAAGAGCAACAAATCAGCCAAGTGGTTACACCATTTCTTCGTTCTTATCTGGGTCTATTGAAAAGCGTTGTAAATCATCCGTCGGAAAATCTTTTATCACCAGGAGGTGGACGTCGTTCACGTAATCGTAATAGTTCAACTTCATTGGATTCTACAAATCCTTTATTGTTGAACAGTACTACATCACCTGGTCATCTGGAAATAAATGAAATCAGATCGTTTTTTGTTAAACGTCTTCTATTTGCATGTATAGATAAGATGAAGTGTCTTCCGATTCGTGATAATCAAGGAGATGATGATGAGGTAAGAATCTTTTGTGTAAAAAGCGAGTTTTGGAGCAGTACTGCAGACTGTGTATTAAAACAGTCATTTTTTCAGTCCGTCTATTATTTGTCAGCCTCAAATATCTAAAATTGCAATCATGGATGGTTTGTAATAAGTATGAGCTACGTTAATATTCTAGAGGCTATTTAATTCATTTGTATATATATAGTATCATAGGCCTTTATATAATCAGTATAACAGCCGAGTACATGACTCATTATTAATAACTTACTAATCTAGTACAGATTAGTGTGGTTAACTTCCAGACATACCAAATATGAGGGCTAGTGATATTATTGTGTTGCTCAAATCGAAGTAGATGAACTAAGGTTCAAACATGGGATTTAGCTACTGAAAGTTAAACGCATTAACCGTCAAGCCAACACTTAATGCTAAAAATGTTATTTATTAAGTAATTGACTTTTATCTTGCATCTTCTTGTTCTTCCAGAGTGAATATGAAGAATACCGACATGAACTACGCACACTATTTGGAAACATCACACAGTTAGATCAAAGATTTGTATTGGATACTATACATCAAATGGTTAGACATTCCCATCATTTACTCAACTCAAATGGTATGGAAAAATCTTCATTTCCTCTGGAACATGTGCAACAAATTGATGTAACTTTGAATTTGTTCTATTTGTTTGGAGAAATTTGCAAAGTAGGTTTATCAGGTGTTCAATTTTTTTCTATTTTAATATACTGTTATTGTTGTGTGCGTATGTACTAACGAATGATTATGTTGTGCATCTCTCTGCTCGGTTTAACTCAATGAATGTAAAGTGTGGATTTTGGAATTGGATGACATGCTTTCTTGTATCCGTTAATAGATGTCCTTGGAGTATTGCTCGCTTATTTTGTAGTAGTAGGATGCTAAGCAAATGTGGTGAAACGGTTGATGGTACCGTAAAACATGCATTGCATGTTCGCAACCATCGCCCACCTCAATACACAGTGTTGACCAAAGTAGGGATAGATTTAAGGCGATACCGACACATCATCTGTCCATGGAATCACCAGCTGTTGAACTAAGTTTTAATAATAGATGTGAACTATCTGGTTGGATCTACGCGATGATCATGACCAGTAATTGAAAATGAGTAACATGGCTCAGTCTATCTCAGTGTTTTAGATAGATTCGTTTTCTATATTTTATTGGATCCAGAGTTCCAGTATTGTTGCATACTTTTTATTCCATAAGTTTATCTTACCTTTTTTTGACTATATTCCGTACATTTAGTCTTTCTTGCTATCATAAATATTACTATTGTTTTAACTCGTTTGCTGTTCATCTTGTGTCATCTAGATTATTCATTTTATAGCTAAATTAAATCTAGGTATCTTGTTTTTCCTTCGGGTAGTATTGAAGAAACAGTAGATAGTTATTTCACATTCGGTCTCCACTTTACTACTACACCTTGCTTGGGATAGTAACTTAATCATTGTATAACTGACTTTTTAACAATTTAGCCGCAAGTTCGAATCTTGTTTCAGTTTAAGGGTCCTAACGGCCTTCCCACTAACCGAACACCAAGTTTATATACTTATATATGATTAGTTTTTTCACATGCATGACAAATGTGATCTGTTTCATATAATGTTTTACATAATTCTTTTCAGACCAGTAAAAATGATCACTTCTGTCAAAGTTTTCCTCAACATGAAACTATGGTTTCAATAATGTCTATACTGTGCAGTGATTCCTTCTCTCGTTTACCACATGAAACTCTTCAGTTACAGTATTTCGAAATAATGGTTCGGTATGAACGTTATTTTTCGCTAGTACCTGAACACCTTTTGAATGTGATGGTACGTCTTTTGTACTTCTCTTGTTATCTACCTAGATTAACGTTGCTTTTTAATGCCGTCTAATTTTAGTGCACGTCTTAAAGACCCCAATGTTATTTGTTGTTATGGTTTCTTTATTAAGTCATGCTTTGTGATGTATTTATAGTTTTTATTTATTGCCAAGAAACTTGTCTAAATCATATTTTGGTTAAGTAAAGATTTTTTGTTCAGTCACAATAACTTTGACCATTTAGTGGTGTGGTGGTTTATGTAGACTTCATTAACCAAACAATAGTTTTTTTGCAAAAGACTACCTTAAACAACTTGCTATCATAATGCACAACCCAATCACGTGGCGAAAATTGTCTTTCAAATAAGTTACCTAATATAATGTGAGCTGTTATCAATGCTACATAATCTGTTCCCAGCTTATTTGAGTCAAATCTCGAATAAATTTTATTGAGACTCTGAAGTAGATTGATGAAGTTATCGGGCATAATCGTATTTAGAATGACATTTAAAGGAATGCAAAAGCGTCTTATTGTAACATCAATACACTAGCGTAGAAAAAACGCCAACCTTGAATGAAGATTACTTAATGTTGGACATTTAGACCGGGAAAACGTGCAGAATTGTATAAATAGACAAAATAATAAGTGTTAGATTGGTTTTAGCTAGTTAAATTATATTTAATAATTTAGTACAGACGTAATCTCTTCAGATTCAGAAATTACCGTGTATTTATTATTTTACGTGCAAAAATATAGATTTGTTGTTATATGGTCGAGAACTATAGGCTTTTAGCCTTAGGGTCATGTCCACAGCAAGCAGACATACGTGTAACCAACACACGGTAAGCTCAATTCTGAACTGAGCGTGTAAGCATGTGATCGGTCACTAACAATTATCAATTTTTCATTTTATTTTAATATTATTATTAGCTTTATTCAATATTATATTTTTGGTATAATGTAAAATTCTCAGCACAAATTATTTCAACAAGTTTCCGTTTCTTACTTCTTGGTCGATCTTGACGATAAATATTGAGTGGTCGATAGTTAGAAGCTAACAGTCCAGGAATCGACATCTGAATAATGCACATTCTTGTCGCTGCATTTTGCTAGCAACCATGATGTTCTCTTATTGGGCTTTTTTATAACCTGTACGGCGAAAGGTTATAAACTTTTCTTAAACGCACCTGAATAGGTTATGCGATTAATAGACATAATGTTGTGTTCAAACAAGCAAAAACAGATAACTTGTGAAATATTTAGATGGCAAGAAACAGGTAGCCCAGATGTTCAAGCAGGTTGCCAATGATTTAATTGTCACAATGGTCTATGTATTGTTAATCTCATGTGTCGTATATCTCAGTACCGTTAACATGGATACAGACAGATTCCGTTTCTATCTTTCTTTTAATCTGGATACATCATATATATGTTTGGTGAATAATTGATTACATTCGATTAGATTAAATTCATGTAAGCTCCCCTAATTGACTGGATAATGTTCACGAGATGTAAATATACAGATGATATTTGTATGCGTTTATGTAAACTAGTTTCGAAAACGACTTTTAAGCTAATAAAAATATTCCGTTATTGTAAAAAAATTACTACATAATCGCTAATAATTACACATGCTATGGTTTTTCTCCTACATGGGGTAAACTACTCTTAATGAAGCCTATAGTGCGAGTTACTGCTAATCATATTTAGAGTTGGATTTTACTCATTACTGTTCGACCAACGGGTGAGGATTCAATCAATAACTGATTCTAAACATTGCCTTAGAATATAAACTGTTATTTATTCTTCAGCCTATTGAATAACTCTTCAGATTAGAAAATTACTTACTTTTGAGCTCGTTTATTGCTTCGTTTAACTTGGCAATCCCGTCAATTCTTATGCATTAGTGTCTGATGAGATCTTGGTACGAATTTAGAAAACGCAGTATGATTTCGGAGATTTACGTTATTTGTAGCGTAGGCTAGGTGCAGGGCGCTAAATAACCATGGTGAATCGGCTGATATGGTAATGAATCTTCATCAGCTGAGGTATTTGACACAAGTATTACTCATGCCCACTCAGGTACTGTCCACCTCTACGCGCACTATAGGCTGGTGTTTATTTGCATTTAAAGAAAGGTAGGAGTGCCTAAAACAAAATCTAGCTTCGCCCTATGATTCATTGAAAGTTGGACTGATCCATGTTGGAAGGTAGGTGTAAAATATCTGATTTTGGTCCTCACGATTATCGTAGCGATCGTTTACAGACATTCAGTAATATGACTTGCAATCATTCGCTGTGACGCGGGTGTATTAACTCATTGTCCTCTCTTAGCTCATAAGTTCTGTAATTTTAAAATCTTAATTCCATTAATCCATGTTTTCTCCGGCTATGTCTATTTTCCCTAATCATTTTTACTACCATCAAAACTATTAATACCAATTCTACTCTGACATCTCGCTATGCTGGTGTAGTGTAGAAAATTCACCTGTTGCACATAAATACCAAGTTCTACATTCACATATGACTGACTGACCTGTCCTATTAAATATATCACCTTGCAGAGGCTAATTCCCCCCTATATCTGACTCCAAAAAATGATATCCCGTTAACTGAGTATTTAATACACGCTAAATCTCCTAGTAGAATTATGAATTTACTAGAGGTTATTCAAAAGCCCGAACATCAGTTATAGAGATAGTTTATTGTTAAAGATTGGTAAAATCCGTAGGTGTATAACAAGCAAGCACACAGGGAAACCAAAAGCGTGTGTGTGAGTGAGTGTTAAAAATCCGCATATATATTTATGAGTGTTAATCAAGTATGGATAAATTATTGATTATCTGTGTATTACAACCAATGGGAGAATAGATTGAAAATTGATGTGCTCAATCATACATAAAAATTTACATAGTGGATCAAGTGTCTAAATTACAGTGAGCAGATAAATGATACAGTAGTTGAATGGGCTTACTAGAACCTTCAATTACTAATAAAAATATTAACCTTCTAGAGAATAATGAACTTACGTGTGGTGCATGCATTCGCAATCATAATAACATAAATTTTAAGTTCTTCCCTATGTTGACCGATAATGTAACATTCATTTGAGGCAACAAACAAAGAGATAACCCCTGTATGGTTTCGATAAAAAAATGTTTCTTTTTTTCATTTAAATTCAATTTAGCTCGCATTTGTTGATGATCGAGGTTTGCATAGTTCATGGTATAGTGTTAAAATTCGCTGCGCTTATTTAATTAATCGCATTATAAAGTCACACAAGTAAGTATATTTCATAAAGAATGTTTTATAATCAGTTATCAGAATTTTCGCCCGTATTTTCTTTCATCCCGATATAATTTACTTTTTTTCTAAAGTAGTGTTAACAGTGAACTTTTTGCTCTGTCTCTTAATTTCTCCTGTTTGTCGATAAATGAATAGAAATTATTCATAAATTGTTCATTGACGAAGTGTATTCTCGGAGTCCTAATTAGAAGCCGTGCCAGTGAAGCTAATCCGTGTCAGGTAGATATAGGTATCTACTTCAGACAATTGAAGATGGTCGTGCAATTTCGTGGGTTGCTTAAAGTTAGACATTAACACCGTTGAATGCCGGCTCATCGATCTATAATTTAAGCGTTCACGCGTGAGATCGAATGTCCTAGGCTCGATTCCCGCGTTCGGGTTCATGGATGTTCACTGCTAAAGTGTCCCATATTAGGACGAAACAGCCGTCCAGTGCTTCCAGGTTTTCAATGGTGGTTTAACATTGATAGATTCATAATCTCAATCAAAAAACTTAACAATCTCCACAACCCCATTCCGATAAAATATATAACTAGGCGGACAAACCAAAATATGGTATCATACAATAAATTCATTAATTGTTGAACTAAACCATGTTGGTATATGTGATAATCACGATCAACGGTTAGAAACTTTGGGTGACATAGTTCATAATTAGTCACAATGAAGTAGATTCATTCATTCCTTGTCTTCGATGTGATCTTGGGTACCAGAATTATTGATTTTGTCATAATATTCTTCGACAATCGTTTTCTGTATTAATAATCTTTTTTACCATCGCTTGTACTGTTACCAATTCTACTACTTTAACGTTTGTCGTGATAATCTCATTCAACTGTGTTCATATCGTTCAGCAACTCCCACCGATGCACATATGTGCTAGGTTCTAAGTCTTTTATAACTGTTCAGTGGGTGCTCACAGTTCTAGATTATTGTTTATTATTTTGAAATTCTTCTCTAATCACAATTTAACCTCCTTCGATAATAATGGGATGATCATATTTCTGTTGTAGTTTCCTTAAAATAGTGACACAACAGTACGCCGTAATAACGAAACTGAATGTCTTTAGAGTCACATTTTAATGGTCAAACCTCACATATTAACCTTTTGGTGGAGTTTCATAACATGTCAAACTAAATCAAGTGTTAACATAACTGGTTCTTGGGTTAAGTTCTATAATTTCAGTGTTTAAACAATAACGTTAATTATCAGCAAAGATGGAAAGTGGCTAGCAGTGGAATCCAGGACGCGCGTTTCGTCCTATTTGGGACTCGTCAGCTGGATGTACCTGCATCTCAGAATTGATGTTCACTCTGGGACTCGAACTCAGTAAGAGACTGATCAATTTCAGTCCTAAAACATCAATGGGAAGATTCAAGTAAAACAATACCAAGTGAATTAAACTTCGCCCCATTGCACAAGCAAGTGGCTATCAGGACTCAGTAGCTAAGTGGATAACGCGATGGCGTTTGAAGCTAACGGTACTGAGTTCGAGTCCCACAGTTAACATCAACTCTGAGATGCAGGTACATCCAACTGACGAGTCCCAAACAGGACGAAACGCGCGTCCTGGATTCCACTGCTAGCCACTATCCATCTTTGCTTATAATGCTTGTAAATTTAGGCAATATCGAGGCATACGCACAGTATGCACATATGCCAATAAGAGACTGATCAATTTCAGTCCTAAAACACCAATGAGAAGATTCACGTAAAACAATACCAAGTCAATAACGATAATATTTCTTTTAACAAAACAAAATGATCAAAATTGCCTCATTCGACATTTATTACTATTGTTATCTCAACCTAATGATGTGAGTAAATATTAATCTGAATGGTTTTAACTATTCTAAGAGAGTGATTAACGGATTAAAATACACAAATTGTAGGATAACTTATCTTTATTTACTTATTTTACATAAATACAGCTTTATACAATAGGGCAACAGGAAATACATCAAGTATAACAAGAAAAATTCATGAGGTACAAAGGGCTGCTGAAAAGTTGCATAATGCTAAGCATTATATTTGAATTAGAAATCTATTCAAGTTGGTTTCCCTTCAGATACCTTGTTTTCCTACTATTTCTAGAGAAAGCTAGAGCAATATAATTGCCAGTTTTTACTTTTTAAACTCTTTTGATGAAATCTCAAGCTACTGAATCGCACAATGTTTAAAATTTCATACAAGAGAGTGAGGTTGTACTGAAGCTAACAACCGTTAATCCAAAAACTATCTTTTTACACCACTTCATAAGCTGGAAACCTCTCATTTCCCAAATTTTTTAAGGTTTTATGCTGAAAACCTAATAATATTTCTCATTGATTTGAAACCCCTGTCAGATCGTACTGTAGTTTTTTATATTTTACTAAACGTCGATAACTTGGAAATGAACACATTTGACCTTCAGCCTATAGGTCGCTGGCTCGAACCCTCATCTCGTTTTGGTTTAGACATTCGAATCGCAATATCACTGGCCGTCATATGCAAATAGTATAGTTAAATACATTAACCTGGTGCATAAGTAAAATTAGTTTTTATCATTATTGTCACTGTAACAACGTTTAAAAATAACCTTTTGTTATTGCGTGTCGATAATTTACTGTTTCTATTCTACCCAACATTAGATTTATTCATTGTTTTTCTCATAAATATAGAAAAACTCTTCTTCCACATACCGAAGAATATCTTTCACGTTTCTCCGACTTATTAGAATTGTCATTAGAACCAGATTCTAGTGTTGTAAATGGTGAACTAAATGGAAATGTTGGTTTTGCCAATGGAAATACATCGAATTTTGGAAAATCTGTTAAAACAGGCTTGGGTATTACTGAACAAGGTTTCCTTTATGAAGCAGCTGCGCAACTTATCGCTGCAGGTGGTATCCAACTGCCTAACTCAGATAACAGTAATAACAACGGAGAAGATCGCGTCGGAGAATTATTCCGTGTTTTACTTACTCCTGTTATGATTCAGTATGATCAGTTTGTGACAAAGTATGTTACTGAACAGAATCCAAAAGTAGCTGAGGTTCGTGGAATTTTAGTGAAACAAGTTACTGATCTTATTACGTAAGTCTCCTTTATATATATAATAATACAATTTGCAAGGTGTAATGAAGCGGTGGTTTAGTTTGACTAAAGCATTTGACTTCCAGCCACTGTGTCTCAGGTTCTAACCACCTCAGTGACTCCATTCCAGGCAACCAGGCGATATCACTAGCCTTTACATGTGATGCATAGGTTGCAATTTATTTTACCAATCTGTACTTTTTATTGAGTTTTTCACTTTTTTTACGACACTGACATCACCATCAGCAGCTGTCTCGTGTTACTTATCTCTTCTCTCGTCTATCTATTTTTTGTTGTTACTCACCACTGGTTACGGTCATTGTATAGACTCTTCATTTTTCTCTATGTAATTTGTTTTGCCTTTCGTCTTGTTCGAAGCCTCTTGGTACGAGTTTCTCACGAGATATATTCGTCTTTCGACGTTTTGGTTTTAGTTACTAGTATATATCATTAATGTGTCTAAAGCTGTTCGGATATTCTCTTCATGGCTCGACTAAGCTCATTTGAGATACATTAGGCAATTTTATCTCCAAAAATTCATTTGAAGTCATACAGTTTTGATTCCGCGTGACCTGTAAAAAAGACTCTGTAGTCTTCTATTGAACGACTCCAACCGTTGATCGAAAAAGTATTCAGTATATTTATCTCTCATTGTTTGGTCGATATCGAGGTAGGGAGACTAAATCATATCTCTTTTTCTGCTTAAATTTGGTCTTTGTTAAGAATAAGTAGTTTCATGGGCATGGTTACAATAGGTGTTTACCACTCTTTGCTTGCCAAACTGAAACGTTGGGAGTTCCTTCCAAATATTTTAGTTTACCTAATTGAGCATTAAGTTCACACTTTACAATTGCAATCTAATCTCCTATTCTTTTGTTGAAATCCATAAATATTTCATTGGAACTTATCCTTTATTTTCGGTGGTTTACAGTCAATTACAGTCGCTAACCCTAATCATAGTAAATTACAAATACAAATTAAATTCTACTGTAAATTTCACCGACATCCATACGTTTAGTAGACCATTAATCCACTAACCAGTCTTATATACGCCTTTATGTTATTGAAACTTGTGTCAGTTCGTGAAGGTTATTCCCTAATTAATCGATCTACACAATATTGTAAAACAGATATTATAATATATCATTACGATTGATTAACAATTATGTTATTTTCTTAGTCATTTGCATGGTTTATTTCATCTGAAAATATTTAGGCAAATATTTCACCAAGGAAGTTAAGAAACGGATAATCACTAAAATATATCACTTATATTCCTTTTCATGTTTATTTATGTGTTATTATTTGTTCCTGTTTCATTTATATTAATTTATTGTTTAGAAAAACGACTCGAGTATTTTCTCAACCAAAGTCTGTTATGACCTCTGGATGTGAAGCTGTGTTAATTGATGCAATGCACCTCATAATTTCAGAATTGTCGCGTTTCCCTACAGAAGCTGCTAGTCCCGGTCGACAAGCTGCATGCGCCGGTGTTCGTGCATTCTTGCATCGAATGGTTGCTTGTATTGTACCAACAAATGAATCTAATTCGATTGGATGCAGAAGTACTTTGACATCGGATATTTTATTGGTTGCGCTTGTAGACGCTGTTCCCAAGTTGGTAAGACCGTTACAGTCTACAGTCGCTTGTTATACTACTGCCAATCAAGTGTTAGATATAGTCGACGCCGAACAACGTTGGAAAGAAATCAGAGATGTAATCCCTCTTGTTACACAAGTAGTACTGAGATATAAGGTATAAACTAGTCACAATTGTTTTGCAAACATTTTTCAACTTCTCTTTTGATTAACATGCTATGAGCGTTTTTTTCTTCAATTATATTGTCTCATTTTTTACCAGTTTTTCAACTGACTAACCGTATACAAATATCATGTTTCGTAATGATCTGTGTCGTAATTCTACTAAATAGATGGTCGGTAAAACTAACTATAAGTCTAATTAATTGTAAACATTAATTCTAAAATTTGAGTTATTTCCGTGGTTTTGCAACTATTATTATAGAACAACTAATATATTTTATTAATCTAAACACACCATAATATGTTATTGTAAACGAGTTTGTAAACTCAATTTTGATTGAATTTGCTCTATTACCAATGATTTTGTTATATCATTGTTTGTAACTTCTGATTGTGAGGGATTTTTGTTTCTCTGTTATTGATGTTAAAGCCTACGGTTGGTCAATCTATTTTGGCATATATCAATTCTGAATGAATTGCTTCGATATTGCTACTTAGTTACAGGTATTAAGTTGTTGTAACGGGTGTGTGGACTTGCAGGTTATGCTAGACAGCGTTTATATCGATCGATTACAGTAGACACGGAAAACACGTATGAACGACCTAGTGCCCTGATTGGTCCCGCTTCGCTGTCTGTCCCAGCCAGTTGAGTGAAGAACGCAAGTCACAGCCTCTGAGTTATGAATCATTGTATTTCAAACATACTCTATTTATATACCAAGCAAACAACCCACATCGTACCATAAAATAGGAAACAACATTTGTACAATATTTAACAAGTGAAATAAACATCGACCAATAAAAAATGTACATTTAAGGTTCAAGGACACCATTGAGCTTAACATGGTAATTATTGGTCTCTTTTTCCGACTATCCCAACATAAGTAAGTTCCATTGTGGCTAAATCTACGTTTATAAAGCGATAAGTGTTAAGTTCAAATCTCAGTATGATCACAAACATTGGGATTTAGGTATATCCAGATGATAAGTTCCGAATGAGGCAAATTATAAATCGTAGATTTCACTGCTAACTACAATCCACCTTTGCTTCATTATTACATGAACAAAGGCGTTCAATTTTTCTGCCTTTTTTTCTCTGAATAGTACTGGTATGGCCGAGAGTGAGGTGGGCCCTCCCTCCCTCTCGAAACGCTCTCACACGGCCACGCGTATACAGCCTCTGCCAGGGAAGTCCTACTCACTGCCTTCTCGGGCCGGGGGTGATGTTTCCGAAATTGAGAGGACGAAAAGCGAATGTCCGGCACTTTAACCGGATTCCAAACTAATGGTGCACTTGGGCTCCAGTATCCTGCGGGAACAAATGGCGTATGAACCAATCGTTGGTCACAGGCTACCATGGGACTGCATCTCCTCACGATGCTCCACTGCCTTGTGGGTCAGACCTTAAGGTCAAAGGCTCGGGGTGTGGTCCCCTAAGAGGACCACCTGCTTCGGTCTGGGCACCCGGGTAGTATCACAGCCCTCACATAAATCGAATGATTTATGTGGCGCATATATATTTGGTGCCTCATTGTACCAATATCTATGTGTTAAAATAAATAATACTGGGTTTTGTAGGCATTGCTTAGATTATGGTACATTGAGAACATTTTGTTTTGATATGTTCTAACTTGATTTACACTTTGTTCCAACATAATTCACATTTTGAACAATCGATTTTTTTCACTGTTGACACTTATTTTGAAGGAAATTTTCAGTATGTTGTGAACACATTTTAATTACTGTCATGATACACAGAATCCTGGTCGATAGATGTACATTGATATAATGCTGATAAATTAGTCACTAGACTGGATTCTTGACACAAACCTTCAAATAAACTGATTAACAGAATAGATGTTCCTTTTACCACTATAGAATGACAGATTTTGTACATAAAAATACCGCATCGATAAACTTAGTTTAAAACATAGACAATTGAAAAATACAAATTTTGTAAGTAGTAACCTTAATAAAACTTAGATGTGACACTCATCAGACCTATTGTTTGCATGTTATGTAGTAACTATAGGCCCCAAACTTTGAGAAGCCTGTTGACTACTGTATAAAATTAATGCTTGCGTATTATGTTTTTATTTCCCTAAGATATTCACCTCTATATTGAGTAAACGGTACTTTAAGTTGTTGTTTGCCTGTTATTTTGTATACTCCCAAAAAACGACGCTACGGTTTTCGACCTAGCTGTTTATCATTGTGATCTATTATCCTTTGAATAGAAATAGTCATGTAATCACTAATTTGTATTGTTTCTTTTCTAGATTTATATTATTTTAAAATAAATACCGGTTTAGATGGAATGGTTAAATAATTCTGTATGGGAACAACATCAGTGCTATTTTTGTTAGAATTTGTAGTATGTTTTAGTATCCCGCTATTAAGGAACACTAGTCATGTAGCATATTTTACTACATAATTTTGCCACTGAGTACTATTGTATTGGACGCTGCTCACTATAATGTTTATAGTGTGTAGCGAAACGTGGTGTCGAAGTTGAAGCAATTGTCTGACAGAGGGATGAATTTCAGTACATCGAAAGCACAGTGTTGGCAGTCGTGAAGACATTTCATACTGCAGAACACACTGGAAGAAAAAAGATGGACGATCGAAGGCTATGTATACGTATTAAGTTAATAAGCGTAAGACTTCGTTGAAGAACATATTTCATCAGCAATAAATTACTATACTTATGAAGTAGGACTAATTAAACTAGGATATTGTGCTCCATATTTTTATTAGCAGTGACGTAAATCCCTTAATTACTTGATTGCGTGATAGGTGTCTCATCTTGATCTTACTTGTTTTGGGTTTTACTACAAATGATAGCTTTCCATTAAAACTTACCTTATTGTTTTTGTTACTGCATTCAAAATCAAATTTAGTTTAGCAATAGTGATTGTAAGAACTCTAATTATTGGCATAAATTCTAATGAGGATTCGTCATAAGCTCCCAACACGACTGTGAGTTTGCATACAGTGTTTTTGATAACCTATTATTTTTCTCAACATTCTTCAATCTCGAACTCTGCAATAATAATTGATGTCTTCAAATTATACAGTGTTTAATCAGCTATCGGTGCATGTTAAGATTCGTTGAATCAGTTAAGGTGTAGTTAATATTGCCTCTATATTGATTTTAAAGTTGTCTAATTCCTCAGGTTTACTGTTCCAGCTATACGTTAAACGATTCCACATCCTAGGATTCGATAGATTGATGGCCATAAAGAGTTCTCAAAAATCCGTTATTAGAATAATACTAAACAAATTCCGTAGTAACCTTATGGATAACTTATTTTATATATGGTTTAACAAATAAAATATGTAAAATTTTACGTAATAAGTGTTTTCTAAATGAAACTGAGTTTGTTCGTTAGTAATTCATCGTAGCGTAGATAGAATTCTTCTCAGTACCGTGTATTAATCGAAAATAGTTATTGAAATCGATTAAATTAACCAGCGAAGAAGATTTGCAGTTCAAGTGAGTGTTTTTTGTGCTGTTAAGTTTTCTGAGCTTCTTAGCCTAATTGCGAACCTTTCATTATCGTTCTAGGCAACATCATCAGCGCTTACTTTATGTAGAAATGAGTAGTATAGTTATCTCACTAGCATAAACTAAGTAAACGCTTGTGGAGTAACTAAAATGCTCACTTCTAAATGAAGTAAACTCTGGTGATATCGTTCAAAACGATATTAACAACTGCTCAATTAAACCATCCATCTAATTTAAAGAACTTAATGACACAAAATATTGACCAGTGTCATGTGGATATTTCGTTGTAAACTTGACTTCATTTGTTTTTATACACTGGACATATGTAAGTGTAATTTGTCTATTTTATGCGCTTCACTTTCTCTTATATTTCGATGCTTTTTTCATTTTATTCTATAGAACCAAAGTATTCCATTTTTATCAACTTGTCTACCGCATTTAATGGAAGTTATCATTAATGCGTTAAATGAATCATTACCACCGAATCATCCAACATTAATTGAAGAAAAAAAATTACTACGCCGCGGATATCTTCAATTAGTTCAAACTATATATCAATCAGTTCCTGATGTATTTTCACAACTTATTAGTGAAAATATTGTACAAGTTAGTTCTGTTTATAAACTATAGTATATAATGATTATTATCCATTCTATATCATGGATTATTTTGTTAAGTCATTACTTTGGGTTGTGACATGGAATGATAACTTTGAACTGTGTTGTAGTCCGTCATCTATTTTACGTAATTTAGTTTTTCTAGATTAATTATGATTCATAGTTCAGTCTAGGACTCTGTAGTCGATTATTAAGTATAGTAAACTTCTAAATACACTAACCATTGATGAATTTCGTATACCAGAATATGAACAAATTTACAATACTCTAAATAGACTTAAGACTCCCAAAAATGATATGATATCGGTTCATGAAGTCAGTGACTTAAACCGAGCCCTACGTTAATAGGTACAGACTATCTGCTTGGAGTCGACATGATTCCAGAAGATGAATGACATTGACCATAATCGGTTATAGTGGTGTAAAGACATTCATTCTTTATCATACTGTAGATCTTGGATTCAAATATTCCTTCACATAAACCTCATAGTTCCTTTTTGAATCTTATTGTTCAGTCAATATTTTTTCTCACTTATTGATACTATTATTATTTCAACTCCTTTGGTATATATATATGTGATAACTTTTGCTCACATTTGGGTTCTACGTCGATTACATTTGATTGACTGACAATATACAACAAACATAAATATGGAAATCTGAAATACAATCAACCATTTTATTATTAAAATATTTAGGAGCTCTTCTTCACTGTTTAAAGTCATTACATTCATTATATTCACATATGTCAGCTACATTGTCAAGCCTTAACCATGAAAACAACCTTGTTAATGTAGAGTAGTGTTGAAAATCACTTTTTAGCACATTTTCTATAATTATGATAGAAGATACTTATCTCATGTATAGTTCGTACGATAATCAGTAATTCACCTTCTATTTCAAACTCGACATCTATACATGTAGAAACACACACACCTCTTCAATATTCCACTACAATTATCATAGTTCTTTTTTAAGATTTTCTTTACTCTATATGTACCATTTGTATTTAACATTTTAGAATCTTTCTACAGTACTTGGACAAGTTCAAGCTTGCTTAGAGTCTGATGATCCAACTGGATTACGTTCAGGCGTAATATTATTTTTACAACTTATACAATCAGCTGCTCATAATTTACAATTTTATGAAGATTTTTTGTTGCCACATCTTGTTCCATTTTTTATACTTGGTCCGATATCTCCTGTCTTTCGTTTGACTGATGGTCAGTTCATATTGGCTTTGGATAAAATTGCTGAAAGTCTTCATGTTTTGTATCAAAAACAAGTTAGTTGTTTTTCCTTTTTTTATAGTGACAATCTTGTTTTATTACTGAGCTTGATAAGTGTTCTAATTAATTCTGTTGTTTGCCTGTTTAGAAAGTTAACTGCTTTCAGATTTGCATAGGATTTCAGAAGTTGAATACTTTGTTGATGTATAGTGTTCTTAATGTGATAAGTGTTTTCTGGAATATCATCACAAGATTTCTAATTATACTTAATCAAATTAACATGTTTTGTACAGTTATAAAGTTCCCACCTATCGTAAAGTTTGTGAATACTGGACTGCGAAGATCGCTCAAAGGTTGCACATGATATTTTATATACAAGAAAGTGACAGTATCTTGTCGCTCAGTGATAGGTTTTGCAAAACCAAAACGTAATATCAGTTCATGTATTTATCGACTGTTCAATCGAGCTGTAAAGGTAGACACAGACTATCCGATGGGTGTCCGCCCGATTGCCAGAGATACTTGGAATGACATGGCTAAGAATCGTCCACAGTGATGTAGACTCATTCATTTTTTATTTTTACCTAGAACTACCAATCTATTTTTTTTAAAAATCATATCTTCTACGTCTAGTCCTTCCCACTACCACTAATTGTATCACTATTTCTACTACTCTGTGATTTGCCCTAGCGATCTCATTTCGTTATGCTAGTGGGTTGTGGCAGCTTACACGGATGCATACGTCTGCCAGGTTTTACGTTGTGTATAACCGATTGAGTGTCATTCAAAACCTAATATTTTGCAAGTGAACTCATGACATTTATTTTCATAAAGAACCATGGAATGACAACACTATCTACATACTATATAAGCGTCTACTTAGATACAATATTTTATTCTTTTGTTTTACTATATTTCTTCTGTTGATATACAAATAGATGAAATCATAAATTTGCAGTTTTACCGAATGCTCTGACTACAAAAATATTGTGTGATACGTGTTTGCATTTATAATTTTTTGTATAACAATCTATATTTCTTCGATCCGTTTACCAAGTACATGTTTTTGTGTATATTTATCCTTTATGAGAGTTGATGATATTATTACCTGTGTGACTAATCCGAAGTAGGCGAAGTGTGTCTAACCTAAATGTCAGTCACTTATAAACGAAGTAAATATATATATATATATATATATATATATATATATATATATATATATATCAGTTCAAATTAGATTGATCTTGTGTCGGTCTAGTTTCCTCTTGCTTTCTCTCAACCTACTCCCACACTTGTCAAAATTTCACATCGGGGTACGCGGTGGTTGAACTCAGCATCATCAGTCAATTCACTATTCCTGTCTAGTGTGATGCATCTTACATCAACACTGTAGCATGAAATCACTATATCAGCTCTTGAAATGAACTTAATTATGAATTTTAAATTGCATTGCACTAGTGTTATGTTTATTTATTTAATGTCAGAAAATTTTCAAGCTCCGAAATGAAATTCGTTTCCTATTCTTCACTTGTCGTTTTTGATCCGATAATCAATCAGATCAAACTAATTTGATCATTCTGTTCTGTAATTTATGTAGGATGGATTGTACACATATTTAAAAGATTACTTTCTGCCACGACAACAATTATCTCCAGAATTAATTCAATCTTACACAAGTGCATTAAAATCTAGTTTAAAAGATTTTCAACTGTTTGTCAGAGTAAGTACTATTGGTTTTTATCCTCATATTGTTTGAAATCATATATTTAATACGTTAAGGCGTGGATTATACTCATATCTTTATATATATGAACTACATAGTAAAGCGATTTTAGTTTATAAAACTATTTCATCATGTTTAATAAACGTACTGCAAGAATTCGTTCATACATTGAAAATAATGACAAATCAGTTCAAGCGCTGCTTTCACTATGGTCTACTTCTCAAACTTCTTGTCCCCTATCTCGCTCAGTGTTCATAAGGTTAAGCGTTCGCAGCTAGACTTAGTGACTTTGGACCATAGATCCGCACTACTGGGATGTCCCGTAGTACTCTATGCTTACTATATTTTAATTGTAGTACTGTTATTCTCCATTCATCTTGTTAATACTTCTTGTTTCTGGGATAAAAGTAATTCATTTCAATGTTGTAGCACTATACACTATTCTGCATTTTTACATTTGTTTTTTTCTTATTTTTGTTTGCCAGAGCTTCTATGCACATTTTCATTGATGCTTAGTGCTTAGTCATTTGAATTATTTCTAAGCGAGAAAAACAAAGCATCGTCCAGATACTTTCGGTATTGTATAGATTTGAATTGCTGATTTTTATTCATATTAAAACGATTTAATGCTTATGTTTCTTTATGAGTTAGTTTGATGTCAATGTGTAGTCTATATATATTTAGGCTAAATATTTGAACTATACATGTAAATCTTCCTATGAATCTGTTTGTAAACAAAGCGTGATTTCTGTTTTTATGACTTACATTCCTGTGTAATGAGTAAAAAATAGGAGATACAATTTAGCATCTATGATTTTCTTTTCTGCCATTTATTCCCTGTTCTCTTCTTAAGTTAACAGTGATTGATTAATTGACTGTTTAATTCTTACTGGTTATACTACCCCCTTCAGAAAAAAAGTTATTTCTGTTAATTCTTTTTCTGTAACTTCTAAATCTATTTTGTACATGGTGTTTTGTGTTCATTCAAAAGGAAAAACTGACAGTATACTAGTATCAGTCAGTTTCATTTTAATTGTTATTATTCCACTTTGAAGTGGAGCATTCACTATGTGAATCAGGCTTACTAGTAATGATAATCAATTAGATTGCAGAATCCAACGCTACCATACATTTTCTAAAGCACGTAGGTTTCGTCACTACTGCGAGATGATAAAATTAGCAAGGTAAGTTGTAGAGAAATCCTAGTGTTGTTATGACGGGTACTGTCCGTAATCTGATGCTGATAAACGATGTGCTATACACTCATCCCTCATCTGACTTCTCGAGCGAGAATACAAGAGTGGGCGAGAGAGCATATTGGGCTACTGAATAAAATGCACAAATAATCATATTTATGACTAATTAACAAGTGTTGATACTATGTATTCTGGTAAAAGTCCCCATTATCCGAGACTCGATCACAACGACAAAACTTCAAATGTTGGGCATTTGATGTTAGGTTTCGAACTGCTTGATTGTAATCTCATAACCGGTTACAACTGTAAGTAAGACAAAGCACGTCAAAATCACCGCTCGTTGTACAGTAAATCAGCAACTTATTGTAAGCTAGCGGGAATGGGCTGTGACGTTTCAGTCCATTTGCTTCATATTTTAGTCACGGATTCGCTTCCTAAATCACAACCGAAATTCGTCCTAGCATATTTCGGGTATGATATCCCACATCTTTCTTCATCCTGAACGGAAAATGACTTACGTATAGTCTATAACATCTAAAATCTTCTGGAGGCAGCCGTTTTAGAGCTTTAGTGCCACTACTAATTATCACTCAACCTTTGCAATCAGTAATCTTACGTAGCGTCATTCTATTCATTGTACTACATTATTAGTAAACCCCATTATTGATTTCCATTACTATACTCTCTTTAAAACTTAAATTTAATAATCACCGATGTACCTTGCGATGTTCATGTCATCCAGTCCTATCTGTCACATTCGGTAGAGGTATCCGGACTTTAAAGCTATCTATAAGTAATGAAATAGACGATTCTGCCACTTAAGGTACATCATGTACACAAACTTGAAAACATGAGGCGGGCTTAAATTGTTATTCGAGGAACGGCATGATCTAGTGATATCTCGAACGGCACTCCAAGTGGTTAAAATACCTGGTCTCATTTAGCATCTCTTAAAGGACGTTCTCAAATTACAGGCTCACCAACCGAAGTGGTGGTGGTGCATTTCGACTAGTGACTAATCTTGTTTGCTGTTTGAGTACTGAACCTGCCAAAGTACTTGGCTTTTGCCAAAAAACATTGGTTTGTATACATACTGTTATAAAATATGTTTTATCAGTACAAGGAGCCCACTATCAATGTGCTATGCGGTCGTTCTAATATACATCGAGAACCGTGACAACTCCAGATGCCAAACAGCTATTAATTTTCATTACATGAAACAAAATCATCAGCTTCTCAGATTAGGTTATGATGGATGTCATGCAAATTCCCACACTGGGTTCGCAACTACAACGTACCCAGGCTTTCATGAGACTCAGAAACAAACAAACATGCATACTATTTTCGATCTATGTCACAACACGACTTCCCTCGAGACACCTTTTATCGCTTTCTAACTCTAGTTTTTCGTCAACCTTGTTTCGAACACAGCTATAAGGGATGAATCAAACAACCACTAATATCTCCTAGTTCATGTGATTCGTTCACTTGTCTGGGGCATTCGTGTAGTCAGGGATGTCCAATTCCAAGCACGACTGATGAAGGAGGAAATCGATTAAGATGAACTTGTTAAATCGTTTAGAGCTCATACGTTATCATTATTTTCTAGGATAACCTGTCTAGTGACAAATTCTCAGTCCATGAAATCTAATGATATAAGTGATATTTAGTCGACTAGTTTACACATATTTTCAGTTGATTTATCGGAGTTATCATCAAGGAGATGGAATTGTCAGACTTATATTTGAACTTGAGTTAACAAGCGAGGAAAGAGGATGTCCCCTTTCCTAAAAATGTAGCAGTCTCGTTCGCCGTATTTTCGAGTTTCAAAACATTATCGTGGTGGGAGAACGCATCATGTGCATAACACTTTTGCAGAGGACAGCTTTTCAAAGCATACCTTGTGATCATTCACCTTCAACAAATAACTACTCGATAACTCATCAGAAGTTGCCGTCATCTCTTACGGTTATCAAAACCTGATTTAACACGTGCTAACTAGTTATAATTTAAAACTTAATTTCTCGAACATTCGTCATGACTTCAACGGTTCTTCATAAAACTGACTTGGCATGTTTCGATTATGTGATGTGTTACTAGTTAAGATGTGAAATTACGAATACTTGTGACATACTTAGTGCTGAGCTCGACGTGATCTGGCACATCTGCTTGTAAAATGTGAGTCTGTTACCTTTTGGAACTTATATATCATTATTTAAATTATAAGTGATTTTGTCCGTATTTTCGGATATTTTACCTTCCTTTACTTTATAACCGAACAGACTCTTAAGTTACTTTAGATCATGTCTCTTACGCTACCCTCATTCTTGCTAATGTCATTCTAGCCCAACAACATCGAAGCCTCGTTCTACTACGCAAAAGTTGATTTCTACGAGCACGGCGCGATCGATTCACGTGCAAATTTCCTCACTGTAGTGAAGAGATTGTCGTGCGAATCCAACAATTACGTCACACCTGGTATGTTCACTATTGGTGTTTCGGAACATTATAAAACTAAAAAGTTCTACCCTTACACGCAGATTTTTAACCGGTCAACTCCCCGATATCATCGATCTACAACATGGCTCAGCAGCAGACATTGTACGAATGAGAGTCAGTGGCCGACAAGCCTTCGACAACGGCTTGTTCAGGCAACTTTTCGTGTCTAACATTTCTTAACAGGTGCATGCAGTGCTTGTCCCTTCGAAACAACGCTGTAGATGAGCTGCCTGCATCTACCGACTGCATTCTTGAGATCACCAAAACTTCTAATGCAAGGTTTATTAATTAAAAGTAAACACCAAATGACGTTATCTAACTCTGTCATAATCTGACATGTTACCATAGTATTCATCGTGACTTAGACGATCCTAAACTCTCTGAAAAAGTACTTCACGAGAGATGGATAACTCTGATTGGAGCTAGCATCAAATTCAGCACGGAGAATCTTCTCGAAATCGCAGAACAGCGACTGACACGAAAACCATTTCGGAAAACGTCCCACCCGGCACGCGTTAACGGCAACCGTAACTACCTAACGTAGCCGTTTGTTATGCATCTATGATGTGATTATGAAATTTCACTACATTGGCGCAGAAGTCAAGGTTTCTCCAGTGACAGACTTCGTGAAGCAGTTTTCAACTTACAGGGGACAAATCGGAAACCGATTTCCATGTATGGTATGCAGTATATACACCTTAACATGAATTTACGCAAGCTCATCCACTGTATCTCCGTTGTTGCAGATGTTTCTATTCCAATCATTGGTATAGATTTGTCTACAACATCAGGATTCACTCATCTACACAAACAAACGGAGGGTAGTAGATGGAAGTACTAAATCAATAGTTCGTGTACTTTTTTTGCCCGGTCGTAAATTATCATTATTCATAGTTAAATACATGATCGATCCATGCTAACAACAAATACTAGATAAATATCGTGAGACGTATCGAACGCAACCAATATTGTCATGTGTAACCAGCAATATTATACATCACGTCACGACTAGAGAACCGTCTGTGTTCTCGAAGGCGCGCCGACAGCCTCCCGAAAAATTGAGGTTAGCTTAGACCATATAATAGACTTAAGAATCACAAAATTTTCAGTGAATAATCGATGACATTTTTCGAGGTCTCAACTTCGTACATGCTATTGTTGATGACTGCCTCATCACAAGTCTAGACAGAGGATCTCATCCCCAGCATCTGAACCTTGTTTTCGAACGACTACAAAAGCACGGGATTACTGTCAACATTCAGAAATATCAAATCGGAACTGACTCCCTAGATTTATCCGGTCACATTGCTGATGCTCAGGGCATCCGACTTCTCGGAAGCAATGTGGCGGCCATTCTGGATTACTCAGAACCGACCACCATTGAGCAATTACGCGCGTTTAATGGCCACATAAGTTTCTATGGACGGCCCATACCGCATCGTGCGTCTCTTATGGGATTTTCAACCAACCAGTTTCGTGGGATCGTGAAATTCATCAATTCGGACGATATCACAAAAATTTTTTTACAGTTATGAAGTTATCGCTAAACTAGCATTGCTCTCACTTCAGGACACTGAAGCGCCCATTTCTGTCACAGCAGACGCATCCCACTGAGCAATCCACGAGGTCTTAAAATATAGGTTAACCACACCTGGTAACCCTTGGCATTCTTCTCGAGACGACTGCTAGACATTGAATCGGGGGAGCACATTCGCTAGGGAACTCCGAGCTATTGATTCTAGTGTACGAGACTTTCAACACTCTGTTGAAGGCAGAGTATTCACTGTTTTCATCGATCACAAACCTCTTACGTT